GCAGCCAGCAACCCCTGTAATTAGAAGTGACAAAAACGACATCACTGAAATTCCAAAATTACCAAGTTCGCCCGACCACTGTGGAAGCGATGCTGCTGGAATATTCTCAAACACACGACGCTGAATTGCATCCCTTCTATTAGTACCCACTGTGTGTTCGATGCGTATGTGCAACCTTTTCGGAATTTGCCTGAATGATCGCTTAATTTCTCACAAGTACCACTAATGCGGAGGGTCCACCAACTCTTAGTAAGGCTTGCAACATGACTTGCTCATCAGGTTCTACTTAGTCCACGATCGCAAAGACTTGCATGTACCGCTGCGAGAACCTGATCCAGAAAGTGCGCTGTGAACGATGTAAATTTTGGCCCCAACTTTCAAAGCTCTTAAACAAAGTGCAGTACAATAATAAAATATTCATTTTAATATCAGATATACTCGTGCAACACACACTGAAGCAGAACAAACCTTTTCCAAGCGTGCATTGCGTTCGGCTTCCTCAAGATTCCGAAGAGCTGGTGGAATGTACCAGAAGCAAATATTCAGAAACTCGGGCTAGAAAGTATAAAATCCTCAGCTATAGTAAATGTATTTAATAAGTACGCGTTTACTGACTTAATGGAGAATTATAAAGGAATGTTATTCAAGAAGAAATATCAGCTAACTGTAAACTATATTTCGAAATTTTAAAGACCAAGAAATAAGCATGCTTGAAAAAGCTGAGATTGAGAGGTTCCGATCAATTAATTTACTACACGTTTTAGCTCAGCATCGCAGCTTATAGTAGAATTTTTTCTAGACCAAAATTGAAAAGTCAAAAGTTAAAAAATGATAAAAATTGCATTTTTCGACATATTTATTAAAAAACCTTCGAAATATGTACCCATCATAGACTTCTGAAAAGAAGGAGGCCACTAATACATGTACGGATCAGTTAAACTACTTTGTAACCAAAGCCTTATGGTGGACAGCAAGCACATTTGTAAAATGCAGCTTGAGATTAATCTCTACAGTCACATTTACACAATCGCACGCGCTTAATCCGTAAAACAAATTCCCAAATTGACTGTTTGCGTGAAAAGATTTTTTTGACTGGTAAAAAGAAATCATAGTTTGAAAAACCCACAGGATCCACAACCAACTCATATCCCTCGGTGTCTCGAATTCGTGCGGTAAAGTATGCTGCCAAATCCATCAGCTTGTTGATCTGTCGACGATATCCTTCCATTCCCTGAATTCAAATTTGGTAATTTTATTTTCCAGATAAATGCTAACTATTTAGAAATGGCCAACAAGTCTCCTTACGAAAAAGCCTCTCAAAAAGAAGGTGAAGCACTAATTAGGGGGCCGAAGTTGAGTCTTTTGCTATGAATATTCTCTCTAAAGTTAGGTTAAGGGGTAGCAAGCAAACCTTGGATCGCCACATGAGCCAGAATTTGAAAATGTCATTGTGTCGACCGCACTGCATCGCTTTATCGCCCGTATCATAACTCACATCGTACGGTTTATCCTGTTGAAATAAGTAATCCGCAGACATTTGATTCGTTTGGAACAAGAGGCCCTGGTAAAAACAAACGGATAAATGAGTTTTAAATAATTTCAAGAAATTCCCTGCCACTTTGATCTTTCAATAACTTTAGAAACAGGCTGTACATAGATGAAAAAGGCTTGACCCATGATTTTTTTAAAAATGAGAAATCAAAATTCTCCAGTGATGAA